TAAAACACAGTGTTAGAGATGTCTAGGGGATGCACAGGTAGCAATATCTTGAAAGAAATAATCAAATGAGGTTTAAGAGCCATTCTCTCATAGACAATAGTGCAAGCAGTGATAATGGATGAGTTAACCCAGGACATAAGGACAAGTAAGGAGGACCAAGAGAGGAAAAAATTCCCCAGGAACACCAACATTTATGGGTGGGACCAAGGAAGAGAATTCAGCGAAGGAAACTGTGCAGAAAATACCAGGGAGGTCAAACCACACCAAAAGAACATGCCATATAAGCCAAAAGAAGACATAATTTGAAGAAATAAATGGGCTTTGATGTCATATGTAGCAGAGAGCTTTAATGGGACCAGGACTGAGAATTATCCAGTGGACTTGGAAATTAGGCTATCATTGATCATTGTCAGAATAATTTTTAATAAAGAGATTAAGGTAGAAATGAGATTATGGTACCCTGAGGAATTTTTAATTTTAAGATAGGATCTCACTAAATAGCCAAGCTAGTGTAAAACTTGAAATCCTCCTGCCTAAACCTCCTGAGTAGCTGAGATTATGGCCATACACCAACAGACCCAACTTGAAGTCCTAGTAAGAATCTGGGTCCTCATGAGAGAAGTAATAGGGAATAGATTGAGGAGCAGCATGAATATGGAAAAGTTACTGAGAAAGGAACAGGAACTAAACAAGCAACAGTGAGGGAAAAAGGACTGACAAGTGGTATCGAAAGTTTTCATTTTTCATTTTTATTTATTTACTTTAATTGTGGCACTGTGGTACTCGGGATGTAATCAAGATCTTCCCACTGAGCCACTCCCCTACTTTTTTTTTTTTTCCTGAGACAGGGTCCTGCTAAGTCACTAAATTGCCCAGGCTGGACAATCCTGCTTCATCCTCTCACAGTGCTAGGATTACAGGAATGTGCCACCATGCCCAGTTTTTTGGTTTTGTTTTGCTTTGTTGGGTTTTTTGGGGGGTGGGGGGTGAGATTAAAATCCAGAACATTTTATTGGCAACAGTTGTACTTTTGCTTGGTCTTCCTGTCAAAGGATGAATTCTAGACTTGATCCAGGATTAGACAGAGCTTTGGCTAGCTTTAGTGAAAAGAGAAGAACTAAGTGTGTTGAGGTTCCTGGTAAATGAGTAGCTGAGGGGATCAACTGTGCAAACCATGCTGAGGGCCCTGAAAGTGACCTAATCTACAAGGAAAGCTTGAAGGGATTACCACGTGAAAGCTGGACAGCAGGTATAATGGAAAAGAGAGTATGAGAGAGCTAAAAGAGAAAAATTTTAATCTTCAGACATGACACTAGAACTTAAATTTTCGGAGGCTGAAAGTAGAATTTTACATGGCAGCAAATTATTATTATGTAACCTATAGTGATTTAAAGAGGTATTTATTTTCCTACTAGAACAAGAAAGCTGAAGGCAAACTTGTTGATGTTGCTCAGTCGTCCAGCAATAAAACCAGCATCTGGTTCCTGATCTTTTCTTGGGAAAAATGGGGGGAGTGAGGGGACTTAAGGGAATGGCACCAGCCTCAACTCTCCCCTTTTATCAGGAAAAACAAAATCTTCCCAAGAGTTACAGAAGACTACTTAGGAGGTCACTGACCAAACTCTGTCACGTGGCCACCTTTAGCTACAAGCAGGACTGGGAATGCAAATAATAATCCTTTGCAGAATCTAGAATAGAGTTGAATAAGGAGAGGAATTGGAATAACTGTGTTTTCACCAAAAAAAATTTAAAAATAAGAAATAAAAGCAATGTCTGCTTGAGAGAACAAGGTTCAGTTTCCTCATGTAGAACTAGTATTTTATAAAGCTCAATCCGTGTAGACCATTCTGATGTGAGGAGCAATCCCTGTGATAAATATGAAATCAGCCTCTAAAAGAGTATGTGCAGTTGTGGTGGGAGGGGTGTCCAGTAACTTAATTTCTTGACTATAATCTCCCAAACAGATCTGTCAGCATTGCCTTTTTGTGTATTTCCATTTGACATTTAAAGGTAGTTAATTGTTTTGTGTTGTCTTTGTTTGCTATGCTCAGCCTTTTTTTGTTCCATATATTTTTTCTTATTAAGAAAACTAAATTTCAATAAGCCCTCAGGAATTTATAAGCCAGCTTTTCTGTAGAGCTCTGGGTATTATTTTTTCATTGCATTAATAAAAGGTTATATTTTTTGCTGTGGGTTACATTCAAATGCAATATACAGTGTGTCACTACTCAAAATTACTCTTACCTTGCAGCTCAACTTGCCATTGACTTACGCTGCTTAGATTTTTTTTTCATAGTTTGACAGTACCAATTTCCACATGATGAAATTATGTATTTCTGCAATTGGAAAGTATAGTTTTTCACTTTTTGGTTGCATTTTTGTCCAGAATCCTCTTGATAAAATTTGGTCAATTAATATAGCTTTGGACCTTAGACCATTCTGGGCCTGACTTCTGCCTCTTCTTATTGATATACACATAGGTAACTCTTCTTGCCATAATGTCACAGGACAGAGGAATCTAGAAACTGAAAAGCCCTAAAATGCTTTAAAATATTCTAACAGTGTTACTTACAGTCCCTTTCACCTAGCCTGCCATATGAAACATTGTGAAAGCAAGGCTCTTGCCTTATAATCAAATAACATGAATAACGTTACCATTACAAAGGGGATGCAATGTTGTATCACCCTCCAGCAGATCGACCGAGTAAACATCTAGGATGATATCAAAACTGGTAATAATTTAAAAATCTATATTGCTACAGTCCCTTCCTCCTTATACATCAGTTCTTTTGAGCAACATTTGCTTTTTTATGTTTATCATAATTATTTTAATTGATCAGAGTCTGGCTCCACAGAAGATAATTTAGCCTTATAAGTTATACATCTGGATTATCTATCTGGGACCTTGTCTGGCCTTGACAAAGTTTAGGAATTGATCCAGCACTGAGAGACCATAACTGTAGATACTGCTACAACCAGATGCTGACTCCCCATCCTGTAAAGTGAGCCTGCCTCTCAAGTTAGTCAGGGATGCCTCATCAAACCCCATGTTTCCCAAATCAAGGGAGCCAAACAATTCTATATGCTGGGGGTGGGGGGATGTACAGATAGAAAAGAAAACAAATACTGTTAAATGGAAATTGAACTTACAGACTGAAGTATTTTGTAAGTCCTGTGTGGCTGTAATTAATCTTAAGACTCAATTTGAACAAATAACAAGCTAAATAATAAAACTATTTGTTTCTGATTTATAGTAATATTGAGTAAGCTTCATGTACTATTGTTGTGTTTTACTTATATTAATCTGTTCAACTTCCTGATAGAAGTACTATTATCCTCATTTTACAAAAGGAACTAAGGCAGAGAAAATTTAAGTAATTACCTCTTTGTCACATAATGTAAGCGGTAGAAACACAGAACTCATGTACTTAGCATGTAAAGCACTAAGAGAAATTTTAACTTTGTAAAAAATTTTTGTTAGTACATGTTTGCAATACATTATGAATACCTGCATTGTGGGTAGTTGGTACATGCAGAAGAAACATTCAATTTCTTTTTGCGTCCCCTTCCCCTCCCTCCTTCTTCTGTCTCTTAGTCTCCCTCCCATTTGCCAAAGACCCATCTTCCTGTTTCCTGTTGTCTGTCTTTTATTTTACTTTTGATTTATTCATACTTTTGATTTCTCATACAAGAAAAATCATTATTTTAAGCAGTGTGTCTGATTTATTTCACTTAACATTATTGATTAAAGGTATATCCATTTTCCTACATATGACTCAAGTATATCCTTCTTTATGGTAGAGAAGTACTCCATTGTGTGTAAATACCACAGTTTCTTAATCCATTCATCTGTTGATGGACATACAGACCACTTTCATGATTTAGCTATGATGAACTATGCTGCTATAAACATGGATATGCATATCAGTCTAATATGATGGGTTTAAGAGATATTTTAAATAATGTCAAATTATTGTTGATGATATTTGAGAAATTGTGGAGAGCTGAAAATTGAATCGAATTCTAGACATAAACAAATATAGCTCACTTTTTTTGCTGCTCAGTATTTTCTGGAAGAAAATGTTTAAATGTTTTTTAAATATTTTCATAAATTATTTTAGATATAGAAGGTAACTCTATCCAATTTTCCAAAAAGACCTTCTTAGAACATTTCATTGGCTGTAAGCTATATATGAGTTAAAATGGAATACAGCGCACTACCATTTCCACTCCAGATTTTATGCCTCAGTGCAAGGAGCAGGGGATCTAGAAAAAGTACTATTTATGCTGGTCAGGCCCCTCTATAGTATTTAGTCTGCTTTGTCCTGAGTTCCACATTTCAAAGAGATATAGAACAGTTGGAATGTTTTGGTCAATACATTTTAAGAATTATAAAATTATTTAATCCAGTTATTTGAAGAATAATTGAAGAACTGAGAACATTCAGCATGGAAAGGGAAGACTTCAAGGAAACCAGTAGAGGTATCTTCAATACATGAAGTAGTGACACACAATAGAATGACCAGAGTTAGGTAGAATGAGAGCCAATCATGAGAAGTCAATGAAGACAGATCCTGGGCTTTGTTGTGAGAGAATCAGATATTTCAGAGATGGAAGAGGCTGCTTCAAAAGGTATTAGTTTCCTTTCACAAACATTTGTGTGAGTGCAACAAGAAGCTGAACAGCCACTTGAAGGTATACAAAAAACACAAGCACAGAACATTTAGTCAAGTCACCCAACTGTACAGGCCACTTCCAGCTCTGAGGTCGTGTTTCAGTCATTCTCTGAATTGATTCCAGACAATCAGCTGAGCTCCCATAGTTAATCAAGTACAGATTACATCAAACATGTCTTATACTTCTAATGCTGCCCACATTAGCACTGGCCAAATTGGTTACAAAAAAAATAACAAGATGAACAAGAAAATAATAATGTATTCCAAAAAAGTCAGTAGGCATGAATGAAATGATTGATGTTTTGTCCTCACTCCTTTTTCTAGTGCTTTCTCCTGCTCAAGAGAGCCATGTGAACATGGACCTGCCCCCTGTCTCCGAGCAGATCATGCAGACTCTGAGTGAACTTGCCAAGTCCTTCCAGGACATGGCCGACCGCTGCTTGCTGGTCTTACATCTGGAAGTGAGGTATGACTCAGCCGAACACAGGACTTTGTGATGCCAGTGCACTATGGGTTATCCATCACTTGCTTATTTCTGGGGCTCATCACCATAATTTGTGGTGTTTATTGATGATGTCCTTTTTCTTTAACATGATTTTTAGCATTATTCAGTCACTTTTTAACCATTTGAGCTCTTGCTTTTTTGTGAGTGTGATGACTCAGAGTAGACATGGCCTTTGAAGCCAGAACACCCTGGATTTGAGTATCTCTACTGACTTACTAGGTGATCTGAGGTCATCTAAGTAACATTGCAAGCCCTCTGTTTCCTTTTCATAAAAATGGAAATGGTTGTTATGTACATGTACCAACTTCCCACAATGAATGTAATCATTATGTCCTACAAACATGTACTAATAAAAATTAAAATTTTAAAAATGGAAATTCCTAACTTAGAGAGATATTATAAATGAAATAGATAATTAGCAAAATGTATGCCATATAGTAAGTGCTCAAAATATGGTAGCTTTACAGTTATGATGACCTTACTGTCACTGTTATTTTTACTAAAGTAAAAAGAAAGGAATATATAGATACAAGAACCATGGTCCTCTCCTTCAAGGAACTTAAAATCCAAATGAAGAGAATAATAATTCAAGAACAGATTCAGCTAGGGAATAAACTTCAAAGCATAACAGCAAAAAAATAACACATTTCTAATGATGTCATGTTCTTAGCCTGTGTTCCTTCTGCTACAGTGCAGAAAATTCTGTTTAGCTTTAGTATTTTTTTATTATTGAAGAGATGGAAAGGGAAGAAGAACTAAAAGCCTCCAGTTATTCATTCATTTATTCAACAAATACTTACTGAGTGCCATCTCTGCACCAGGCAGAGTTCTAAAAATTGAGGTACCCCAATGAACAAAACATTCAAGACCCCTGCTCCCGTGAACAGCATTCTACTGACAACATTCTACTGTTGGGGGCAATGACTAGACCAAAAAAGATAATTTCAGATAAGTACAACTAAAGTAGTAATATGACATAGTGGGATCAATCTGCTATTCAATAGAAAGAAAATGTGAACTGCAAATGCAAGCCACATCATTTAAAATGTTCTAATACAAGGTGAGCATCACTAATCCAAAAAGTCCAAAATTTGAAATCCTCCTTGGATTTTGGAGTATTTTGGATTTTTAGATAAGGGATGTTCAACCGATAAAGTCTGTGTGATTATTCCTAAATTCAGAAAACTTCTGCTCCTAAGCATTTTGGATAAGAGATACTCAATTTACAGTAACACTTGAAAAAATAGAAACAAGTAATTCACTTATAATATTTTTACTTTATGTAGTATATCTGATGTGTTATTTTAACATGTAATTAACAAAAATGATTAATGAAATATCTTGTTTCTTTGTACTAAACCTTTGGACTCTGCACCTTTTATATTTTTTATAGCAATTTGGACAAGTGACATTTCAAGTACTCAGTAGCCACATGTGGCCAGTGTGTATTGGATAGTGCACAGTGTATGTGATTGGTTAGGAATGGGAGGAGTTGTTTGTTTTTAAAGAGTAGTCAGAGGAAACAACAGAGTGACAAAAAGAGCCAAATGGGGCCAGGGATTTAGCTTAGTGGTTCTACCACCTGCCTCACAAGCACAAGGATCCAAGTTCGATCCCCAGTACAAAAAAAAAAAAAAAAAAAGAGCCATATGTATAAACATTAGGGGAGAAAAGTTTCACACAGAAGGTTCAACACTCACAAAAGTCCTGAGACACAATCAAGTTTGGCAGTGAAGAGCCAGATAGGTCTATAGACTGATAAACAAGGCAGCTGGGAAGAATAAAAGAAAAAGATCCAGAAGACAGACTGGAGCCAGGTCATGTGAGGTCATGAAGCCTGACAAACTGTAGTATTACAGTCCAAGTGAATAATTCAGATTTTAATTGAAGTACATTAAGAAGCAGGAGAGAGACATTAATTAACATTTTTGAAAGATCACTCTGGGTGTATATGGAAAAGGAAGAAATATGAATGTAGGGAGAAATGTGAATGGAAATTAGGTGACCAGTTGACACCAGTTATGAGCACCAAGGTGACAGGGTGGAGGTCTGAAGGTATTGAATTTGGGACCTATACTAAAGACAGGTGATAAAATTTGTTGGAAAATTGGGCTGGTTAAAGAGGCTGATGTCAGTGAAAGAAGTAAAGCACTCCAGGAAAACCACCACCAGTTTTGGGGCCTGAGCAAACTGTGAAGATGCCAGGGCCATATTTGGATCAGAAAAACTGAAGAAGAGAAGGTTAAGATGCTTAGTAAACATCTAGGCAGCAATGTCAAGTGGACAGTTGGATATATACTTTTGAAACCTCAGGATCAGAAAGTGCATGATGTGGTAATGCATTTTCTTCTCTGTTACTTTAGAACATTATTAAAGTTGTGTCGAATATTTTATTTTACTTTAGAACGTTATTAAAGTTGTGTTGAATATTTTATTTTAAAATTTAAATCTAGTAAAGATTTACTAGATTTAAGTTTTAAAAGTGTAGACAAAACTGAGGCCCACAGTTCAACCTTTGGAATATGCTTAGACTCCAGTTATCAGTCAGATGCCTTTCAGGAGTGTTGATGTCACTTCTTTTGTGTGTCACTGCCCTTTTTCATTCCTCATTATCTTGCCCAGTGTGTTACTGTTTATAAATAGCATTGCAGACTTAGAATCTATTTTACTCCACAATATTTCTGAATTTTATTTCTTACATTAACCTCTCCCAAAATCAAGGCTCTTGCTATATTTTCTGATTTGTTTTATGATAAATTTTAGATTTGTTTTCTATTTATTTTCAAGCTGATAGTGAAATAGAGTGTTTTCTATGAATAGATAAATGTAACAGAAAAAGATGGGAAAAAAACCCTTAGTAATATTCTGCCCTGTTACCTGAGTTGCAAAGAAAATCAAGGGAACACCAAATTAATTACTCTCACAACTCCTGGAATTTATGCTATTGATTGTGTGTTGGCAAGACGTGTTCAACATTAAGAATTACCTACTTGTAACATAGCTAATTCCAAGTGGGATATTTTCAACACGTCTGAGTAAAATCTTTTAAATCCTTAACCTCTATTCTGCCCTTTTTATTTTTGTACATCTTGGCAATACTATTCTTATAATGCTGAACATGTTGTAGTCATTATTTATTAACTTTATAAGAAACCATACAATACTGTAATACCCATTGCTGTATCTCTTTCAACATCAGGTTAAAAACAGAAAAAATAATTTCAGACTGAATAATGAAAAAACCCTGAATTTTAGAGGCCTGGATGGAGAATTATTTCTCCTTGACCTTGAGAACACTAAATATGTTTATTTTCTTCTAAATTTCCACATTTCCACTTATAGCATGGTTTCAGCATTCAGATTACTTTCTTATGAAAATGCTCCATTTTGTTTTTGTTTCATTTGTGGCTCAGATGATAAATGTTGGCATACTTTATTCTGTCTTATCACATTAACAATGTCAGGGGGCACCATACAGTGATAATATAAAACAAATAAGATAGAGAACAGAAGGAACTGCTAAGTGGGGACCCAGAATGCAGGACTGGGGAGAGACCATCAGCTCCTCCAGCTGTGCCTTGTTCTTTGTTACAGATGTCCTGAACCTGGACCAGTTCTGTTGCGTATTATGTGCTCACTTAAAACATGCTTGATTCTTAAGAAGTAACTCATTTGAAACCCAGACAAAACAGGTTCTGTTTCCCCAAACAAAATCTATTGCTGTTTAAAGAAAATGAACTTGTTTATAGATTCTGTTTTCCCATGCAATCCACTTGCAAATCCAGTACACATACTGTACCCAAAAGGTACAGAGACTATGTGGCCCATATTATCCTTGTTGTGATAATCAACTATTATTTGATTTATTCCTCTCCTGCTTTGAAAAGTGTTAGAACTGAAGCTCTGTTGTCCATGAACTGGTGTGATAAAGAAGTGGCTGGTTAGGTACTGTGTCTGGCACTTTTAGCCAAGAAGCCACTATACTGAAAGAGCACAGATAGAACGAAAAAAAATCCATATAAAAGGAGATATGCAAGCTAGAAGTCCAGAACAACTTTAAATATCAATTTATCTTACTCTTGAAAATAGCTTTATATCCATAGCACATACTTTTCCTTAACATTGCTAAAGTTCAAACCAAAAATGTTCTCAAATCCAGCAAGTTCAATGTTGAAGAACCCATCCAAAGAGCAGTTGACATTTTACCTGTGTCACTTTTAACTACCAAGCAGCCTTTTCCACAGTTTGAGGCATAAGGTAGATGACACGCCCAAGATGAAAGACATGGTGACACCATTAAAAAATTATTGAGGTTTTTTACCCCTCTATTTGAACTTTAGAAGAAAATTAAATTGCCATTTGAGCCCAAGACGCCAACCAAGAATGTCACCTTTATCACCTGATTTCCCTCACCATCAGGAGGGCTCTAAGTGGGTTCAACAGTAACTGCCTGTCACTATTGGGATCCTAAGTGTGCACTTTCTGAAAATCAACCATCCCGCTGTGTAATCAGCAGTGTTTGCAGAAAACCTTAATGCCAAAGTCATGTTAAGGTCAGCAACAACATGCCAGAATTTAAAGGGAAAAAAACCTCACTTGAATTTGACATTCACAGATAATAGTTTAATTTCTTTTTAATCTCTAATAATTTGGGAAGAAGAAGATAATACCTTAAGCAGTGGCTGTCTCTCCTCTCTACCACCAGCTTTAGGATCTCATAAGCTCCTACCTCCAATTCAAAAGACTTTCCTAACCAGTCTTTCTACCTTCAGTTGATTCCATTTGAAGCTACATCCCTAGCTTTTTTTTTTTTTCTGAAAAGACCTCACTGAGTTGCTCACACTGCCTTCAAACTTGTGATCCTCCTGCCTCTGCCTCTTCGGTAGCTGGATTTACAGGCATGTGCAACCATATGTGGCTCATCAATCCACTTTTATACTGTGCCACACTAATCTTGCAAAGCTCATATCTAATTATATCATTTCACCTCCTAAAATTCTCCTAGGGCTCCCTATGGATCCTAAAATAAAGTGCAGATGCCTTAGATGAACTCCAGAGCCTGCGATTACCTGATGTCTGGCCAGCTCGCCAAGCTCACCTCATGCCTCTGTCATGTGATTTGTACGTAGCAGAAAAGAACCACTGGCCATTCCTCAGGACCATCCTCCATTAGTGTCTCAGACTTTTTTACATGGTCTTTCTGTTGTCTGGGCTTATATTGTTTATAATTTATTTTTTAAACCACTTTGGCATAGATGATTTGATGTCAACTAAATGCTATTTTCTTTAAATTTGTGCCACAGTAGCAATCAGTTGACCTAGTTATAAATCTCATTCCAGGGCTGTTCAGCTTTCATTATATCAGAAAGATCATGTTTGAGAGAGAACTGCAACCAGCACATGGATATTAGAATGAGTTTTAATTGGTGAAAATAGTCATGTTAAGATGCACACCTATCAGTGAAAAGGAACCATAGCTAAAACAGTTAGATTCCCTTGCATGAACAGGTGATAAGATTATCACAAACCTTACACAAAATCGTATTTCAAAATGGATCCTAGAGGTTGGAAGGTGTAGCTCAGTGATGAGTATATACTTAGCATGTACAAAGCTCTTGGTTTGATTCTCAGCACTATCACCACCACCACCACAAAAAAAAACAAACGCTATAGTAAAACTTAGAACTAAATGTAAAACCTAAAACTTCTAGAAGAAAATGTAGGAGAAAAAATGTATGGCTTTGTTTTGGCAAAGATTTCTTAAATATAATACCATCCATAAAAGAAAAAAATGATGTTGAATTTCATCAAAATTAAAAATCATTATTTTTTTTTTAAAAATCATTATTTTAAAGATGAGAAGACAAACCAAAGTGACAAAGAAAATGTCCGCAGAACGTAACCATTTCTATCAAATTACCTAAAACTTCTAGAAGAAAATGTAGGAGAAAAAATGTATGGCTTTGTTTTGGCAAAGATTTCTTAAATATAATACCATCCATAAAAGAAAAAA